ATCCATCCATCCATCCATCCATCATTCTTTTCATATTGTTCTACCTCATTATTCACTTACTCATCCATTCATTCCTTATCCATCTCCTCATCTTCTTTTTAATTTTTAAAAACCTCTTTTATCTCATCTCTCCACCAAGAGCTGACCACAAGTCTATTATTATCTGTTGTCTCAGATCAATTATTTTTCATTTCTATCAAGTCACTCAGCCATCTTCTTAATACCATTTTCTATCGGCGCCATACTAATCCGAGGTCTATCGCCTCCTTAATGGCATTAAGTTTAAACAGTTGCCACGGCAACCCAACCAATCAAATTATTAATTAGAAGAACCTCCCCAGTTTAATGTGTCTGTAAAGCACAGACGAGCAAACAAAAGAGAGATTACAAACCTAGAATTAATATTAACATCAAGTTATGAATGACTTTCAATGTGAACCAAAGATCACACTTTAAATCAAATAATGATATTGCTTATGAAAGCTCAGTTCATTCATTCTTTTCTTGTGGCTCGACACATTGAGTGTCAGTTAAATTAATGTAATTTTTCTCTTAGTATTGCTCGAGCAAACGCTTAGTTTTGGTAAACAATTTTTAAGAATTAATATATTTTAGCAAATATGAGAAGAATTTTCTTCTAGTGGTAAAGTTTCTATATTCATTATTTTTTGTAAGTTCACCGTATGTTCACCAAGGGAAGAAAGACTATATGAGAGAACCGAAAGATAAAATTCAAACTCTCCTACTTGCTCTGAGCGAGTTATAGACATTTAAGTATGTGCCCATCCATAAATTTCAGTCCACTTTACAGGGCCTTCCCACTCACGTACATTGTTGTTTTCCTTTCTTTCGTCAAACTTTTATCAAATTTAAATTTAAAATTAAAAAAACACTGATACTAGTAACATATAGAGACGACACTCAAACAAGAGCTTCGTTGTCATGGCGTTTAGTAAACTAAGTCAAAACAATCTTGTAGATAATTTGAAATTGGAAGTCATTTTGGGGGGATTTGCCTTAAACAGTAAACAGATTGAGTTCCCTAAAGGACATTTTAGCTGGTTTAACTGGCTGAAAGACTTATTGGAAAAATTCTAATTAACTTGTAGCCACAGGCAACACATGTTATGTTCTCCTTTTTCATACATCTCTATAATTTAATTTTAATCATTACTAATCATAAGCAGTGTGATTAGGTAGGCATAATTTGTACAACGACCATTTAGGAGTCAAAAAATTTTAGAACGAACTCTTATGATTTTTTATCGTCTTTAGTTAGTTTTGGGGAAAAACACGTTTTTCGTGAATCGAAAAAATTGTGAAGTCGACATACCGAATTAAATTAACGATAATATTTTAAATAAAAATAAWAATAATAAATAATTAGAAAGAAAAGCACTATAAGATACACACACACACACACACAAACATTATTACAACCTCCCAAAGCCAAACCATTACTAAAAACCACGTTTTAGTACCAGTCGTAAAAAATCTCAGCTGAAAAAATTTCTCATTAAAACTCCTTCTTTTTTCATTAAACCATTAGCATCAAAACAGTAGTTTGTTTACTGTAAGGGAAAGTTGTTATCAATTCAAAAGATAATATAAAACGCCTTATGAGGCCAAGGGCTGAAACAAACTTTAATTATACTCTTTATTTCATGTTTTGTCAAATTAGTTCTAAGTTAAATATTATAAAACTGATTCAGGAAAAAGAAACTTTAACTACTTTAAAATTATCTTTGACGTAATATGAGGCGGTACTAAGACCTTTTATAGATATTATTTGGTTTTTTTTTTTTTTTTTTGATTGCTTCTATTTGGAGTAGCTAAGTTGTCACCTATTCTGCATAAGATACGAAGACACTCAAATTTGTATAGGTAATAGGACCACATGCTGTCCACTTTGTGACTTACAAAATTGCATGGAAGAGGCCGATAGGCGGAGTCTAATTTGGCAGTCAGAGGAATCTTTTGAATTCAATTATTTCCAAATTGGACAGACATGTAGTCCTATTGCAGATTAAATATATCATCCCAAACTATGCTAGACTGATTCCATAAGTCATAGTTTTCCCTCGAAAGAATGCRAATGGAAACGATCCAAATTAATCTTCAATTTGGACAAGAAAGAAATTTTTTGAAAATAATACAATAGTTGCTAATATAGGATTATAGAGTGATGATACAGAAGTGAAAAAAGCGTAAAATTGGTACTTATGCTGTTCCTATTATCATTTTTTCTTTCTTTCTTTTTTTTTTTTTTTTTTTTTTTTTTTTTTAGGAGAGGAAGGATAATTCACTTCAGTTTTCTGAATCGTTTAGTTCGGGTATCTTTGAAGGTTTCTGGTGGGCTTTCTGCACCATGACAACGGTTGGGTGAGTAGAAACAGAAACGTTTCCGCCATATTGGATTGCCCACGTGATGTACTAGTAATAGTTGCGCATGCTCGTAAACACGAACTTGGACATTTTATTCGTTAGTTTCCACGATGTTTGATTGGCCACGTGATCTATTAGTGTCTTTATCTAGTTTATCGCGCATTCTCATAAGATGACGTTGACATTTTCACTGTTTATGTGGCTTGACCACCATATTCGTATCCCCTTGAATATATCAGTCTGCGGTATTAATAATTTATGGATCAAAAAGCTCTTATCTTAAGTGCTTGGATGCGGGGCCAGCTATCTCGTCAAAAATCTATTTTTGCAGCCAAGGTGGCTGCCTTTTGAGAAAGGAACTTATGTTTCTTGCTTATCTTCCTCATTTTCTACCTTTCCACTATCTTTTCTTTGATGTTTTTACTAGTTACGGTGACAAGGCTCCTAAGACCATCATGGGGAAGATCGTAGGCAGTGTTTGGATGCTTGTGGGTGTCATTATTATCACTATATTCATCAGCATCATCACTACAGCACTAACATCAGGCAGTTATGAGCAGTACTCTTCTATCAGGGGAATGAAGGTAAGTTTTCACTGTCTTTCTGTGGACTTTTCTCAGTAATAGCACTTTCGAAACTTGGAAGAGTTTAAAGAATAGAACAAATTCTTGGAACAAGAGCCAACCCTTATCAGAAACCTTTTTATTGCTATTATATATTTAGTTACTTCTTATTTATAATTCCTTTACCTACCAATCTTTAGGTGTCAGTTGTCAACCAGAGTGTGGAACACAATCTTGCAATACGTAAAAATGCTGAAGTTGAAGGTAATAAGACACAATATGACTCACAGGTGGACATTACCAATGCAGCTCGATTCTGGAGATAGAGCAATAGGGATTGAAACTTGCCTTTATAAAGTAATAAAAAAACTTTTATTGTTAATGTAGATGTATTTTTTTAGGGCTGTATTATTGGGGAATGCTGCAAAATCCTATGCAGTATCAGTTTAAATTAAGTATTTTGAAAAGGTCGCTTCTTTCGCTTACAGTGTTAGTTTAGTTACAGATCAGTGTGTAATGTGAGGTTTCCAGGAATCCAAAATATGCTCTGCAATTTTGGCTATAGGGTTGCTTTTTCCGATGTTTTTAGGCGTTTTATTTTTCTTGATTTCATAGGCGGTATGTGAAAAGTGTGAATCGCAGTTTTTAATGCCCTAGCTAGGGCATGCGTAAAAACCTTCTAACTATATTATCGCTATTTCCTTCAGCTCTTCCTGACCAAGACATGGCTTTTGATCAACTGATTAACCGTCAAGTGCAAATATCCCTGTTGGACACGCATGCGTTGAAGTACCACATTTCATATCTAACGAGTAAACATGTGGTTGTCGCAAGTGTTCTACGAAACTACGTCAGCTTTGGCTTCCTGTTGTCCAAGAATTCATCGAGACTTGAAAGCTGTCTAAGGGATTTCATGGAAGTGAAGGAAAACTGGAAATATGAACTGCTGAGAGCTGCCGTTGGAAGTAAAAGGGTAATAATAGATTTTCTAAAATATTTCCATGTAGTGTATTATTTTGTTTAGTCATTTTACACCCTGTTCAACACGGCCATTTGTTGCTCCTTTGCATACGTGTCAATGTCGAGTATTATAGCCTGCTTTTTGTACGCGCAGAAAAGTTTCAGTACCAGGTTCGTCCCAACATCGCGTCATTGACCGTGCTACTATCGTGTAAAAGTCGTGTCAGAGTCGTACAAATGTCGCGTCAGGCTTTTGAAAATATCGTGTCAAGTTTATGCAAATGTCGCGTCGTCAGAGTCGTAAAAAAGGTCAAATGTCGTAAAACAAATTTGTTCCAATATCGTGAGACTGAGTAGTCCCGTTGCCATTATCGTGTTAGTATTGTACTATATGCAGACAGCACGATACTTAATAAGTTGTTTCACCGTACAGGTTCATCTGACCGCAGGGGAAGATTACTTTGGCAGTGGTGGCATCTTCAGTATCTCTGTCTACTCTGGTTTAGCATTGTTTGTAGTGCTATTCGTCGTTGGTCTAGTTTGGGAATACCACAGCTCCAGGAAGCGCAAACATGTTAAACGACACGAAAAGCCTCAGCCTCGCTTAGATATATACAACGCAACTAAGAGTCCAAACGAAGGTAAGGCATAATTACTCTCTCACAATAATATCATCTTGACAGGGCACGCTCTCAACGCAAAGGCGACCTTGAAGCTGTGGCATGAGTTCATGTTAAACTTTACTTTAAAAGACTTTGTAAACATGGGAGAATTAGCATGTATGTTACGTGCAGTTGCTTGCGCAGCATATGTTATGCAAGATTTAGAAATTCCTAACCAAACTTAAGCAATACCTATTGTAAGTTAAATTCCTGGTATGGCTGTGTATTTTCATAAGTCGCCAGAAGTTTGTTGCTAATTAAATACAATTGTTTTCATATATCACGTCCATCCTGGGTACGTTCTTCGTAGAACTGTATATTTAAGAAACTAAGTGTGTTCTAGATCTGAAGATTGTATGGCTGATAAAGAGTATTGATGTTTTTAGGTATCTTAAGAAATGGCAACTGCAAAACTCAACCATCATCAGCTACACCATCAAGCTTAAGACAAACCACAAGAACCCATCCTGGTAGGAATCCCACTACACCTCGACATATCAACATACTAGAGCGTTCACATCCTACTAAAATATCCTATGGGAACACCCCATGGGAAAAGCTGATGACTAGACAGAAAATGGAGGTCATGAAATTGGAGTCTGAGTTTTATGTTTTTCACAAGGATTGGGAAAAACGCTACAAAGAATTCCAAAGAAAACAAAAAATGGAAAGAATGGGGACCGCCCACAAGGAATACAGAAATGGAGGCCAAACTGCACATTTAAGTGGCACAGCATTTTAAATTCTTATGCAGTAATTTGAACATCCAGTAGCTTTCAAAGGTACGTGGCAAAGCTGCCTGCAAATTTCTAAAGCCTCCATATAATGGCAAAATCTTCAAGCCTTGCACATGCATATAGTGAACAAGCCTACAAATAGTGACACAACCTTCACAAAGGACCAAGCCTTCACATGTGATCAAGCCCTTACATGGGATCAAGCCTTTACAAGGGACCAAGACTAACATGGTGGTCAAGTCTTTAAATGGGATCAAGCCTCACCTGATGGCACAGCCTTTACAAGGGACAAAGCCGTTAATGGAGACCAAGCTTTAACAA